GGGGCGGCTGGCGGACCGCGACAAGGAGTGGGAGCGCGAGAAGGAGCTGGCGCGGCAGAAGGAGCGCGAGCAGGAGAGGGAGTGGGGTTCTCGGCGGAGCCGTCCCGAAGGGTGGGCGGCGCTGGGCGAGGTGCCCGTCTTCCTGCCGGACTCACGCGAGTTCCAGGACCCCATGGCCTACCTGGACGGCGTGCGGCAGCATGCGGAGGCGGCCGGCGTGTGCCGCGTGGTGCCGCCGCCCGACTGGAGGCCCGAGTGCAAGCTCAGCGAGGAGATGCGTTTCGTCACCACCGTGCAGAGGGTCCACATGCTGGGACGGCGCTGGGGCCCCAACGTGCAGCGGCTGGCCTGCATCCGAAAACACCTCAAATCTCAGGGCATTACCATGGACGAGCCGCCCGTCATCGGTAAGATGCCTTCACGTTCGCGCGCTCTCCTGGATGTCTTTCTTTGGCTCATGCATTCATCATTTGCTCGGAACTGGTTTTACTGCACTTTTGCCAAAAAATTCTTGTTTGTACACGATCGACGTCAGATATTTCGGCATGAGTGGGCATATTGGTTTTAGCGTTATTTCGCCAATTAGCAAAAAGAGTGTAAAAGCGCACCAAGACCAAAGTCCCGGATCCTGACCATTGTTGGCTCCAAGTTGTGTCAGAAATCACTTTTATTTATTCGCAAAAAAAAAAACAAAAACCCACAAACAAACCAAAGTGCAGACCTCCACGAGACCATGTGACCATATCTACACTGATATTTTTTAAAATAATACATTGGTCTAAAGCAGGGGTGTCAAACTCATTTTTGTCGCGGGCCACATTGGAGTTACGGTTTCCTTTGGAGGTTCGTTATGAATTTTGGGAAACCATATAAACGTTTAATCACCTCAACATATTACATACACAGCGCACAACAAATTGGTGGATAACTCGTTTGAAAATAAGAAATCAAGAATAATGACTGTTCTTGTGGATTACATGTGGCAATTTGAAATTTTGGTTCAGACTTTAGCGAGCATCATGGAACTTGACATTTGCTTTCGCGGGCCGCGTAAAATGATGTGGTGGGCCAGATCTGGCCCCCGGGCCTTGACTTTGACACCCGTGGTCTAAAGTTTTGTTGGGTATCAGTTTTATCCTGCTAATGATGGAAAACGGCATGACCTTGACTGAAGACAAAGTTCTGGATCCATACATCCGCCACTGTCATCATAACCCCTCTTCTTTAATGCATCTCCTCCCCTAGTTTTGGCTGAAATCACTTTTAGGGTAATTCCCTCCGCCTTTGTCTCGTCCAAAAACTTTCACACAGCTGGTCCTCCACAAAACCGCTTCCCGCCCAGCCAGCTGATTGTGTTGGCTGCGGCCAACCGACCTAGCAGCCGTCACCCGACCGTTGCCTCGTGCCAAAACATTTGCATTTAATAATCGGGGTCACCGCCAAGCAGGACTGGCTGGCGCTACCTGCGCAAAATGAAAACTCGAGAGGGGGGGAGAAAAAGTCATGTTTGGGAGCACGCCGAGGCTTGTTAGAGGCTCATAAAGTGGCAAGGCGATGGCGGGGAATGGGAAGTGACAGGACAATCTGCGGGAAATATTGTCAGGGTGGTCTGGGGGGGGGCCGCGTGCCAGCTACTCCGCGATTGTTATTGTTGGCTATAAAAGGATGCCTCGTAAAAACACGCCATTGCCAAAAGCTTGTAAACACTCGGCTCTTTTATTTCATACACTCGCACAGGGGCCTCAGGGGGACCTCAGGGGCGCACCGCGGCGGTTTGATGCCTGCCTTGTGACTTTAGAGATAACAAGGTGGCAACGGGACTTAAGTGCAACTTTCCTACAGGGCGAAGGTGGGGGCGGGGGGAACGTAGATTTAGTTTTCTGTGCAGGATCGGAGGTATTAATAGCGGCCCCTCTCACACCACCGCTATTTTTCCCGTGTCGCTGTTTTGTGAAAGCGCACGGTTACGCTCATATTTCCGGGTTCCATACGAAAGGCAACGTCGCAGGATGTTTGATTGACAGTTTGTGTTCATCGCGCGATAGGCACGAAACGTTGCTATGCAGCCACAGGCAGCATGCGTACTAACGCGCGGGTTGTGGCGCGCAGGCGGCTGCGAAGTGGACCTGGCGCGCTTCTTCCAGGTGCTGAACGACATGGGCGGCATGCAGCAGGTGATGGACCTGAAGAAATGGAGCAAGCTGGCAGACCTGCTGCGCATCCCCAAGTCGGCGCAGGACCGGCTGGCCAAGCTGCAGGAGGCTTACCTGCAGTACTTGCTGGCCTACGACTCGCTGGGCGCCGACGAGCGCCTCCAGCTACACGACGAGGTGCTGCGCCGCCGCCGAAAATTTGCTTCGGTCACAATGAGAACGTCCACAAGGGAGTTGTGGGAGGGAACGACGACCGTAGCTCATGCGTGCTCCCCTCCCTGAACTTTGCTTTTTACGTACGTGCACGTCGCATCCCGTTACCGACTTTCAACATGGACGCCGGTAAAAAACCTGACGGCCCCGATGGGTGAAAAGCCACAATACAGTGGCAGCCTCGTTTTTCACGGGGGTTGTGTTCCGAAAATAACCTGCGAGAGGTGAAATCCGTAAAGTAAGACGTTTTTTTAAATTTGACCAATATGATACTATGAACATTTTCCAACATTTTTTCTCGTATTGTCAAGCATGCTCAAAATTCAAACCTTTGCGAGAAAAATACTTTGGATAATGGATGGATAATAGATCAATTGCAGCCAGTGGCGTCACTTACTTTCAAATTGTCCCACCAATTCCCCAGTGGCTGCATCATCGGGACAGTACAGGAGGGTGGGGTGGGGGGGAGTGAAGAGAAGCCGCAGTAAAACAGGCCAAAATCCAGTGGCTAGAGGTTGACTTACAAGGTGCTTTGTAACCAAATTTCAGAGCGTAGGAGTCGAGATTGAAACATTTCCGCAAGTAGGGTATCTAGAGTACTGCAACCCGAATAGAGAATGATACAGCACTCGCTGACTCGTCAAATGTTGTAAGATTGTGAATTTCCCAATAGGTACTGCAGGAGAAGCGTCGACTGGAGGCGCGGCGCGGCCCCCTAGAGGGTCTGGCGGACTCGGCCGCGCCGACGCTGCCCCGCTACGAGCCCAAGAACGGGCTGGCGGGTGGCCTGGTGGGGGGCAGCGGCACCGGCGCCAACGGCAACGGCGTGTACCAGCATCTGAAGGATCTGGAGGCTCAGGTCAAAGCGGGCCGGCGCCGCCTCTTCGCTCAGGAAAAACACAGCGGACGAGAGGATGGGCGGCGTGCCGCCGAGCACCACGATGACAGCATCCTTGGCGAGCAGCACAAATGTATTTGCAAGGTTAGTGGCGACTGGAGGACTGTGAAACCACAAACGGCGCACCCTCGAAACGTGCGGGAACTTACTTGGACTCGGTACGTGCTGCTGTTTTGGTGAGCAACACAAAATCGTGCAGTGGTCAACTGGAAAGCAATTTTTCTTTGACGTCGTCTGCTCGGCAGAACAGAACAACCTGCTAGTTCATTCCCAAACCTTTTTTTTTACCTTAAGATCACAATAGGAATTAAAAAAACAAAAAACTTGCTAGAACCCTGCATAGATTTTTAGTCATCCGTCAAGTGTTAATGTTTAAGCACTGCATTTACAAAGAGTAACTTAACTTTTCATCCAGTGCAGTATTTTTTTTAAAAATTTTTTTGCCCTTTTCCAGGCCATTTTTTCATACAGTTCAGTTGTATTTAACTTTTAAACAGAATACATTTGCATTCAATCGTGAAATACTGCTTCTTTGGAAACATTTGTGTGCAGTTAGAATATGATTTGAATTTTACAGCTTCAGTCTCATATATATTTATATTTTTTTTAATTATGACTTCAACTAGCAATGAATGCTGAATCGGAGTAATCACAAACGTCATCTTAAAACTAAAGACATGCCACTTAACCCTTTCAGGGACAGCGGTCACTACAGTGGACATCCCATCAGGTTACAGGATATCATTATTGCTGCATGAAAGGGTTAAGGACAAATAAGTGGATTTTTATTGATTTATTTCCCACCCCCCCC